GCTACTTAGTATAAATTTTAACATTTTTGCGGTACTTTTAAACTTTTTCAAAGAAATGAATTAATGCAATTATTTAGATAAACTATTATAATTTACCTGAATTATCTCTACGTTTCGACCAGATTACACCGATCATGGTCACGAGTAGACTGATATAACGTTGTTACCTTTTCTGATACAGAAGTATTTTTTTCTACTCACTCATTGTTCTATAGGTAAATGATCATAGTTTTTAAAATTATCGCGTTAATTCTTGATATTTTAATATTTGCCTACTCTAAAACATTTATCTCTGCTCATAGTTTATGTGGTTGCCATTTACGATTGATCATAAAACAACAAATTGTCATTGTAAAAAGTTAAAATTAATCAGAACTAGTAATATGATGTTTTTTGTATTTAGTTAAATATGTATATGTTAGTTATATTAATTATTGACGTAGCTTACATCCCAAAATGCTTTAATGGAAATTGACGAGTTTTTTTTCTCATTTCAGTTGCTTTGACATAATACTGGTTTTAAAAGAATAGATATTACCTATGGCAACACTAGTAAAAAAATCCAAATTTATTTATGATTGACGAAGTTATGACGCAAAAAACAAAAAAAAAATACAAACGAATTGGGAATCTCCTTCTTTTTGATGTTAGTTGAAAAACTATTTACATAACTTTGTGTAACGTCTAGAGACTGATAGTGAAACCTATGAAATGTTGCTTTTAAAAATGTTATTAAACAAACTTGTTATACTTGTTGTATCGTTACATTAGCCAAGTAAAACATTATTTTAATGGTCGTAATCACGTAAAGGGTATTCAGAGTAACTTTATTGTCTTTTAAGTGAATATACTTGCCATAAAGTTAGCAAGTCTATTACATCGGCAATAAAGAAGCAGGTATGTAGGTACTGTTTACCTGCAAAAAATTTTCATCGCGTTAAGTCCCGATAGTGTATTTAAATAAGTTTACTACAGTAACACGAACTATTTAATATATAAAATCCTCATCATTTTCCAGCTCATACACCTAATTATTTAATTCGAGTTGGCGTAATAAGCTTTCCTCATCTATTTATTCTCATATTCACTCCCATTTAGGCCATATCGTCATAGTCATAGAATACTGACGGATCTATATATGTAATATTTGTCAGATCCGTCAGTATTCTACGACTATGACGATATCATCTTTCACAAAGTCCATCCACGACTTTTTAAGTCATCCTTTAAACTTGTTGCTAAATTGTCAAATAATCATTTCAATTCTTTAATCAATCATTAATTCTATATAATAGACATTTTACATAGACTTTGTAACAAACCCACAATGTTAAATTAGTAGCTGTATTCATAAATCGATTTTTGGAAAATATATTTTATTTACAAACTTTTTTCTTATTTCTTCCATATTTTCTATATATCTGGTTTAAATTTAAATAATATTATATCTATCCAGTAACTTTGTGTAGTGATTCATTATATAATAAATAATAAGTAAAATAGTATTTTGTTTAGTAAACCCTATTTAGTTATATAGTTTTATACCTACATTCAGTATTAATACTTTAATTAACCTTTAGGTCAAATTGAGTGTAACGAAGAGAACAAGGATTCAATTAGCAATAGATTAGTTCCCACGGGCCTCCTTTCGAGTTGCCCTAACTACAGAATACAATTCTGTAAATAAACAGTTAACCTGTTTTCTGAATTCATTTAGCGGCCAATACGAAGTTTTGCGATTTCTTTTTCAACCGACTTTCAAAGTAAGAAAGTTGTGAATCCGATTGTATTTTGTTTACGTTTCGTTAAAATCATATCAGCTATTAACTGTCCACTGCTGAACAGAGGGAGACTTTGTACAAAAGTCGATTGCTTGGGTACCTCTGTCCCATTCGTGTTTCTACCGTGAAGCAGTTGTGTTTCGGTTTGAAGGGTGGGATATGGCGTGAATTTACTGGGTACAGAGGAATAACACCTGAGTCCTCAGGAATGGCAACGCATGGAGGGTATCATGGGCGAGACAGTATACTCTGTTATGTCCATGGTACTGCTCATGTCTATAGGCGACGGTTACCACTTTCCATCAGGAGGGCCTTCCGCTTGTTTGCCATTCTAAGTTGTATAAAAAAAATACAAGGTTGCCATTTATGAATTTTATATCGCTTTATTGATACGATAACTGATTGCCTTTTACTCGTATTATTTTATGTTTGACAAAATAATTTATTAAATGAGTATAAATTTTTGACAACCCTATATGAGTGAGGAGAAGTGGGGTACATTTTGTAGGCATCGGGGCACTCACAAAAGGGAGTACATAAATGACACATGTATTCTGATTATTTATTATTATGTTAGATGTTATTAGGCTGTAGATAACAGAAAGTACTATTAAAAGCTATTGCGTTCGATAAAGAAGTATGTGCATGTATTCATACATATGCTATTAATTTATTTCCTTGATAATTGATAATAACTATACCTGGTTACAGTGTGCATCAGTCGTTAACTGTCCAGTGCTGAACATAGCCTTCCCCACGGGGGGTTTTGCCAGTAGTTGCCACGCTTGGTAGGTGAGTTGGCAACCACAGTTTGACTTTTGGTGGTTTTAAGAGAGACATTGTTGCCTGTCTCTGCCCTTTACCATTACTAATTTATTACCTTAGCCGTGTAGTCCTGGTATAGAATAAGCTATCCCTTACTTTCCTGTAGGTGTCGTAAGGGACGCCTAAGGGAACTTAATGGTCGAGGGATGGATAGCAGGGTTCATCTTAAAATATTAACAAAGCCTAACCGCAGTTAAAACTCATCAGTATAACTGTAGTAGCCAATTCACCTGTTAGCTGTGGCAACTACTAGCAAAACCTTCCTTTTATTAAGGGAGGCTTATGTCCAGCAGTGGACAGTTAAAGTCTGATACGATGAAAGAATCTGGAAATCAGAGGACTTAGTGTAAAAGGCGGGTAAGTTGAAAATAAATAATTCACAAAGGTCACGGTCGAATAGGTAAACACAATAGATAACAATCCAATTAGTTAATAGACATACAGGTTAGCTGGCTCCCACATTTTTGTTCTCTTTTATGTATTTGTTTTTCCCTTATATACTTCTACTATTACTTAGATTATTTTTACAACTAACATAGTTTTAGGTGGCAATGGCTTTAGATTTTATTTTAACGATTTTCATACAAGACTTTTTTATTAAACTTAGAATGGCAAACAAGCTGACGACAGATCTGATGAAAAGTGGTAACCGTCGCCTATAGACATGTGGAGTACCATGGACATAACAGAGTATATTGTTTCGCCCATGATACTCTATGCATTGCCATTCCTGAGGACTCGCAAATGGCAATGCATCACTTGTTTTAGAGAGACAGACTCTCCTAAAATTATTAATATTAGTGTTATAAAAATTAATAAATAAATGTTTAAAAATATTACTGCGAGTATAATAGGTATAAATATTATAACATATATATGAAAATTCATATTTATTTATAAAAATAGAAATCGAAAAACATTTATTCGGTATTTTACATGTGAATATAAAATAGAAAAACATGGTTAATAAACCATTTGATATTACACGCACTTCAGTGAGTACCGAATGGGACTCGAATAATAATATATCTATTCGGTATTCAGCTGATAAAACACACAAAACAATGATTAATTTAAAATTACTGTAACAATATAGAAATTGTATTTATAAAATAATAAACAAGAATTTATACTAAATACATTTGTTAAAAGGATTTCAAGAAGAAGTACCTAATTGGGTGTAATCCTTGTCTTAAATAATAAGCTTCTTATGCTCTTCATATTTAATAAATGCTTACTTAAAATTATTATTTATTTAAATTAAGAATGCTGTTAGCTAATTTGTTTACTTAGTCGATAAAATTGTAGGATAAAACTGTAAAAATAATGGGTACTCAGTACTCTCTTTTTTTATTTGGTGATAATTATGATGAATGTCTTAGAATACATTGCAAAGACTACATTTTCTTTATAAATCCTTACTTCTTATGCCTGGGGAGTCTAGTATGTTAGAGATTATTTTATGTAATTTAAATATTTAGAATTGTTATATGTAAAGTTTGCTATCAACCAGATTTGTACTCATGGCTTTTGGGGTCTGTAGGTCGAGACATTTAACTAATATGAATATTTTTTTTCTGTTTGTACGTAAGTGTGCATTTTGGGGGGAAAAAAGATTACTACTAATGGGTTCTAACAGCCCTATTGCTAGCAATATACCCTATTAGGTCGACCGTCACGCAATTCTACCTGGAAAATATTATGGTTAATTCTTGTCGAATTATTCACGATGGGCTGACTGACCTGCCCACATCCTCACCTATCATCTATCACTAGTGCCCCGCCAGCGCATACAAATAGACCAAGCGGTACTACCATTCCATTTTCACCAATTTAAAAAAGTGTGCATATTTAATGGAGGGGCTCAATTATGTATTTAATATACATAATTATGTAAAGATAATCGCGAAAATATAAGTTTTATATTTTATATAGATTGGTATTTTAAATACAATATTATATCTGCATAGTGCATGGATCGAACTTACAAATATCGAAAGGTGAAGTAGTTTACCATAAACTGATCTATTACTAATATCATCGGCTGAATCATGTACATAATTATGAATATATGAATATATCAAGTACTGTTTTATTTTTTCTCTATTCAATACTGCCCGCTTATTTCTCAGTTTGCCCAATGATTGACTGGTAGAGAACACCTTCCGGCGTTAAATCCGCCAAATATATGTAGAATTTTACTGTGCACTAAAGTTTAAATAAATAAATTTTTATATCATTATTTTTGCTAATGTTTATAAATCTTAACAATTAAATTTAATACAACATCACACAATTATATTACTATACATTTTATATCTATGTTGTAAATGGAGCCGTTCCATTGATTGTAATACTTATTAGTAAGATTAAGTATTATATGTGATTTTACAGGGGTGTGCCTGATTGAAAAAGAAAGTCAACGTGACACAGCAGCATACCGGGAGTCTGGTGCCAGAAAATATTATGGATTGTATCAGGTATATATCATAGGCCAAACAGTTGAATTATAGATTATATAGGTAGAGCATTGAGCCTCAAAAATGGGACAACTTTTTGACTTTTAATTTGATAAATAGCTGACTCGTTTTTTTATCAGTGTTCTATATACTTACGCATGCAATGTATCTAGACGTATTATTAAATAAATGAAATGAATATTTACGCATTAAAAAGATGCAAAAATTATAAAACGAAATAAATATGAAAGTTATGAAGGAATCACTCACATCTATTTATCACGCACAATTGTATGAAAAAGTTGACCCACTGTCCTCGAAGCATTTGTATGGAGACAATCTATCTATACAATCTAAGGGTTGAATGTATTATTTTTATTACAAAGATATTTTTCATTAATTAATGCAGTTGTTATTTCATTATCTCGTTCAATCATTCATGTGTTAATTTAATAAATTTCGATTCGTTAAACAAAAGTATTCAACGTTTACAGATACCACAAGTGTGGTGTAAAAATGGGAAACGTGGAGGCAAATGCAACATAGCTTGTGAAGGTATGTACACTTTATTTGTAAACAATTGTCAAAAGGAAACATTTTGTTTGCTTCGTCATTATTAAAGCACTATATTAGAGAAACTAGTATAGCTCATAATATAGAAAATTCAGAAAAATAAATGAGAAAAAAAGATTTTACAAGTTTTTAAAATGATAGTTAAAAAATGTGAGTCCATTTGTTGAGACGTCGTCATCATCGGCATCATCATCTTAGCCTTTATCTGGTCACTGCTAAACATAGGCTTCCTCCATAGACTGCCATAAGGAACAGTCCTGAGCCACCTGCAATAATTGAAATAAGATTTAGTTTTCATTTTAGTTCGTCGAATAACTTTTAATTTGTGATGGAAATTGAAAAAAAAGAAGACCAAAGGAAGACTTTGTACAAAAGTCGTTTGCTTGGGTACCTCTGTCCCGTTCGTGTTTCAACCGTGAAGCAGTCGTGTTTGCATGGCTGTGTTTCGGTTTGAAGGGTGGGATATGGCGTGAATTTACTGGGTACAGAGGAATAGCATCTCAGTCCTCAGGAATGGCAACGCATGGGGGGTATCATGGGCGAAACAGTATACTCTGTTATGTCCATGGTACTGTCATGTCTATAGGCGACGGTTACCACTTTCCATCAGGTGGGCCGTCAGCTTGTTTGCCATTCTAAGTTGTATGAAAAAAAAAATATATATACATTTTTCAATAACAGTGATTTTGTACTACTTAAGCAACGAGGATTTATTTGAATACATTAATATCTTTTTTCAAATAATTATGTGGCTCTTCAGGATATTGTTTAAAAATATTAATGATTCAACACAATTTCCCAAAGGAATAAAAAAAGTCACGTACAGTTTTGGCGGAGAGCTATTAAAAATACGAGTATATCGGTGTTTATTTTTTTTAACTTCGTTATGTTTATCCTTACTTCTTTATTATTAACTAATATTATAAATATGAAATTTTATTTGTTTGTCGATTTATCAGTCGTTGTAAAATTGAGCATACGCGTAATATCTGATATAGGAGAGGGGATAGTTAGTGATGAGACTTATTAGTAATTGAGATTAGCTGTTTATTGCTGGCAATGTCCTCTGTTAGAGCTTCCTCTACGTGGATTTCTGAAATGCAGACTTTGAAAAGAAAGTTCTCAATTCGATTGTTTTTTTAGTTATCTTTTTTCGAAAATGAACCATAAAAATTTAATGATTTTGATTTAGTCCCTTATAAATTTTTTTCAAGAATGTACTCGTAGTCTAGTTTATTTGTGGAACAAAATCTTAAACTCTATATTAATTTGTATATAGATGTACGAGATATCTGTTGTAAATAGCAGGATGCAGTAATAAAATATATATGTATTTGTGATATAAAATAATAAGTTTAGTGAAAAAAATACGAGACATGTCTTATAAAAATCTAAAATCGAACAAACTTAAAAATAAAACATTGTTCTAAAAAAACTCAGTGTCAACAGCCAGTATTAAAACTTCAACAATATCATCATCGCAATCTTATTAGTCATCAGCTGTCCATTGCTGAACTACGGCTCTTTCTATTGAGAGGGTTTCTGCCAATAATTGTCACGTACGGCAACATATATATATATGTAGAAGAAAATGAGAGGTAGTTACTAAATTAGCAGAACTCATAAAACATTTTTATATATAAGAATTTCTTCACGAAAATATCTTAAACATTTTTACTACGAGACATGAGATATAGTAAATACAAATGAAAAAGTAAAAATAAAACAAAAGGCACTTGCATAAAGATTTAACACCTCAATAAACGTGTCGTTTTTAAGATTTACAATAAAATAAATAAAACAAAGTTTCTAATTCGACAAGAGAGTTGCACAATGCATTTTATATGGCAACAAGCAATATTTTGCCAGCCGTGTTGTATTTTATTATGACTGTTTTCATAGATTTAAAGTTACTGAAATGGTACAAAATATGTTTTTGTCTTAGATTTGTATTAGAAACCAAATTAACCCATTTAAGAACCAAAGTAACTGACATAACCCGAAGGATAAGCAAGCTAGGATAGGATAGCAATGGGCTGGTTACATAGCTCGAAAAACGATGGAGAATAAAGGTTCTTGAGTAGCGACCCCCCACTAGATGGAAAGATGACCTCAAATGCGTTGCAGGGAGTCACTGAATGCAGGTGGCTCAGGACCGTTACTTACGGCAGTCTATGGTGGAGGCCAATGTCCAGCAGTGGACGGATAATGGTAGATATGATGATGACGATTCTAAATAAATTGTAAAAATGGAGAAAAACTTGGTTTGTATTATATAATAATGAGTAGGGATAATATTTATATTATTACATTTATGTGTCGCATCTCCCAAAATTTTTCATTGTGGCTCCCACCAAATTGTTTATAATTACTCCTCTCCATCCAAAGGTTGCCTGGAAGAGATCGCTCTTAGCGGTAAGGTCGCCCATTGTTTTCTCATTGTGATTATTTCTTGTAATTATTTATATTTATAATAAGTTTATTATTGTAATCTTTTGGAGGAAACAATAAAGAGTATCTATCTACCTATCTATCTACACGTATTTATGATAAAATAAATATGTCATTCAGTCATCAGTTGTTTAATATTCATTAATACTAGTTTTTTTTTTTTTATATACAACTTACTTTAGTTCTGCTTAGGTTAGTACTAGATGACATTTTGTAAATTTTTCATTGGTATTTATTATTACTATTTGTTTTGTTAGCATTTTTAATAAGTAAGGTCTTATAACTCTGTATTTATATTTAAAATACACAATCGGGACCTAGTACTAGTACCTTCATACCTGCTCTTTATTTCCGACGTTTCGACGTAGATTGCACCACGTCGTGGTCACGACAGGACCACTCCTCAACACGTTCACACACAACGTGGTACAATCCACGTCAAATTTTTTTCGTTGTGTTAAGTCCCGACTGTGTATTCAAACGATGTGTAAACAACGTGAAAGTTTAAAATTAACCCTGTATCTAATTTCACTATAATATTTTATATTTAAAACTGAAATACGGCGATGCATGCAAATACAGCTGTTTGTTGAACACGAGGGACACAGGTACTCATGCATATAACTTAATGCGATACAATAATTTTATATTTAAATTAAGATCCCATCTGGTTTCGCGGGGATACACATAATCGTATTTATTTATTTATTATGTTTGAAAGAAGTTTACAGCTATAATAAGTTAATAATTAAATATATGTAATGATAGTTTCGCATGGCTGTGTTTCGGTTTAAAGCGTGGGATATGGGAGTGAATTTACAGGGTACAGAGGAATAACATCTGAGTCCTCAGGAATGGCAACGCATAGGGGTATCATGGGTGAAACAGTATACTCTATTATGTTCATGGTACTGCTCACGTCTATAGGTGACGGTTACCACTTTATATCAGGTGGGCCGTAGGCTTGTTTGCCATTCTAAGTTGCATAAAAAATAAAGAAATAATCTTATTTATTTATTATTTTTGAAGGAAGCTTACAGATATAATAAATTAATAATTAAATATACATGACAACGTCAAGCTAATTAAAAGTACCACATATAGTTAAAGAAAATTGAATTAGTTACAGTCTAGATAATTAATAAGTGTGCAAACACAAACTAAACATCATTTAAATCACAAAATGAATAATTTGCGACGATTTTTCTTATATAACTGCTGCTTCTATTAAATATATCCATTTAATTATTCCTACTACATACGTCGTTAAAAATAGTAGAAGTTCGTATTATGAAGCAATTGCTTCTGTACTGGGTGAGAAAATTATTTAAATTACTCGCTATTAATGTAGCGTTCTATAGGTGAAAGAATTTTTAAAATTGGTTTAGTTGTTTTTGAGTTTATTATTACAAACAAACAAATCTTTTCTCTTTATAAGTAATGATATTAATATAGTTAAATTTTATCTATCTATCTATCCTATTTAAGAGCTGCGCTCTTGTCAGTGGAGCTCTTGCCATTCACTACGATTTTCAGCGAGTCTCTTCACCTCTTGATATATTTTATTTATTGAATTTTATATCAAAAGAAAAAAGAACTACTTTAGAATTTCGATATACTGAATTCCTTTACAAGTTATTATTATGAAAAATTGTAGATGGATAATGTGTAGATGAAGACAGAAAACTATATAACTTGGTTGTTATGCAGACTTTCTCATTGCTAGCAATATACTCTGTCAGGTCGTCCTCCACGGGGTCTCTCTGGAAATTATAGTGCTGAATTCCGGGTGTATTCATCACGATGGTCTAACTGACCTGCTTTGTCATTGTCATCTACCATCCCTCACTGGTACCCCGCCAGTAGCACTATACCAGCCAGGTAACCTCGCCTGTGCTAACATAGGCGAGGTTACCATTCCATTATCATCCATAAAAAAAACCGATTTTGAATTGATTTTGATAGAATTTACATGGTTTAATTTGAAGTATATTCTCTTATACGTCGAGATACGTCGAAACGTCGAGATACGTCGAAACGTCGAGATACGTCGAAACGTCGAGATAACCCAAGTAATTTATTATAGTTTACCTAAATAATCGCGTTAATAAACTTTGAAAGGTAATTTATTTCAATAATTGGATTTTTAAATATTATATTCATTCTATATTGATCTATTTCTGCGTTTTCCACTCACTAGTTTAGTACCGAATCGGTCGAATGCTCAATCGGAGTGCCGTACGATGTTTCTATTACCTCTAGACGCTTTTATTAAAGAGGTTTATTAGTTAATTTTAAACATTCACATTGTTTACACATTTTTTAAATTATTGTAACTATTATTAGCCTTTCACAATACTGATATACGTACTTTTTTTTATACAGTTTAGGATGGCAAACAAGCTGACGGTTCACCTGATGGAAAGTGGTAACCGTCGCCTATAGACATGAGCTGTACCATGGACATAACAGAGTATACTGTTTCGCCCATGATACCCCCATGTGTTGCCATTCCTGACGACTCAAGTGTTATTCCTCTGTACCCAGTAAATTCACGCCACATCCCACCCTTCAAACCGAAACACAGCCATGCAAGCACAACTGCTTCACGGTTTAAACACGAATGGGACAGAGGTACCCAAGCAATCGACTTTTGTACAAAGTCTCCCTCTGGTAAAATCTTCCTTTTGGGCACTATTATTGATATAGCAGTGAATTATTTATTTATTTTTTATTTATTTATTTATTCTGAATTAGGCACACCAACAGTATACATATTATACATAAATTAAAAAACATTTCTTATGTAGTATGCTGATATGCATACCTATAGCAGGCGTACACAACATTGACTACAGATTATATGTATATAAATGTCATAATATAATTAATATAATAAATTAAATTTACAATTACATATTCTTTATTAAAAAAATTCAATTCAATTAAATATAAATCAAGACTGGACAATATCATCAAATCCACATGGTCTTCAGTATCTTACCGCGAAACACTGCCAACGAGTCATGGCTTACGTCTATATCCGGATTTATACCGCATATATGATTGTAGTTATTGCATATTCTTGCAAGAGGAGCACTCAATCCCAAATTAGTTTTGCACAGTGGCACATAAAATATCTTATTGATGGGATACCTAGGGATACCGTGAGGAACTACATATTTAATTTCACTCAAAAGCTCAGGACAGTCCATATCATGATGCGTAATCCTATGAAGAAATACCAAATCATGCAGGCGGCGACGATCGAACAGGGTCCGCATAGTAAAGAATTTAAGACGCTGGTTGTATGGGCATCTATGCGATATGTTCTGTGCAAACCAAGCCAGGTGCCTAGTAAAAGCACGCTGTACACTTTCTATTCGCTGTGAATGACACGAGTAGAATGGACTCCAAACCACACTGCAGTACTCTAGCTGACTTCGGACTAAGGAGTTGTATAAGCTAATTTTAGTTTTTGCTTTAAATCCCCTGGAAGTGCGTTTTACGAAGCCTAACATTTGAGTCGATTTCCGTACTGCAGACTCAATATGGGATGTGAACGTTAATTTACTGTCCATTAGTACACCCAAATCCCTGACCTCGTTTACTTCTCTTAGCACTTTATCACCAATAGTATAGTAGGTCTGAAGGGGTTTTCTCTTTCTGGTGTACTTTATGTGGTTGCACTTGTCGATGTTAAGTGACATGCAATTGCGCTTACACCAACACTCCATCCCGATCAGATCGCTTTGTATTAATGCCATATCATCCAATGATTGCACTACTTTATAAAGCTTTAAATCGTCTGCGAATAATAAGCATTTGCAGTGCTTGATTTCAGTAGTTATGTCATCTATAAATAAAGAGAAGAATATCGGTCCTAGATGGGAGCCCTGTGGTATTCCTGATAGAGCATGATAACTTTCTGACTCATATCCCTTGACAGCTACATTTAAAGTCCTATTTTTGAGATATGACTCAAACCAATTTAACAGTCTCCCATGAAATCCGCAATATTCCAACTTCTTCAGCAGAATATCATAGTTAACTCTATCAAAAGCGCTGCTAAAATCAGTGTATATAGCATCGATTTGGTGTCCTTTATCTAGTTCATGGCTTAAATCGTTGGTAAAAGTAACCAAATTAGTCTGAACAGAGCGACCTTTCCTAAATCCGTGCTGGTCAACAGAAATAAAATTGGCAATTTGAGAACTGACAATTGGGCAAACCAAAGATTCAAACAATTTTGAGAAACATGATAATAACGATATAGGCCGATAGTTCATTATATTGTTAGGATCCCCCTTTTTGTAGATGGGTACAATTCTAGCACGTTTCCATTCATCAGGAAATACTCCGTCATCTAGACTACGATTAAATATCAGAGTGAGCGGTAGAGAAAGCACAGACCCACAGCGTTTTATAAATAATGGAGGAATGTTATCGGGTCCAGACCCTTTAAATATGTTTAGTTTTTTAATTTTTTTAAAGACTTCTTTCACAGCAATCCGAATAGTACCAGTACATTTTCCGAGGTTGTCAGGAAAAGAACGAGAGTAATTGGTATTATTAGATGAGATATTTTCATAAACGGACGAAAAATGCCGAGCGAAAAGGTTCACGATTTGGTCCCCGCTATCAGCCACTGAATCCCGTAGACGCATACAGGATGGTATAGAATTTGAATTCGATCTCTTTTCATTAACATAACGCCAGAACGATTTTGGATCTTTAACTACATTAATTTCAGTGCGGTGTCGATAGTTACTGTAACATTTTCGCAATAACTTATGACAACGATCGCGGAGAAGCTTGTACTCGATCTCATCTCGGGGATTTTTAAATTTCCGATATATAAAACGTTTTCTTTCCTTTTCAGATAGAAGTTTGATAAGTTTCTTAGTAAACCATTGTGGATATTTTTGTTTTTTTGGTGAATATTTAGTGACATGCTTCCCTATTGTATGATTTAAAACGCTGTAAAATACTGAGACCATTTCATTGACATCTTTACAATGTTTAAACTCTTTCTGCCAATCAATCCCTCCCAGTTCCCCAACGATTCCAGTGTAATTTGCTTTAAAAAAGTTAAAAGTATTACGATACCTCGGAACTAACTTGTCCGATTTACCAAATGATATATGTAGCATTAAACACGGATGTCTTGGATCTAGCCTACTCAATACATTATCCGAGATTTCACTATTTGAACTTTCTATATTTGTAAGGACAAGATCCAAAATCTTGCCTTCATCGTTACAAATGCCATTGACTTGCCGGAGACAATTTATGGAGATAAAATCGGTCAAAGCATACCCCAATGGTGTTTGATAATTCTGGGGGACCAAGTGGGTGTTATCTGAATTAGTGGTCCAACTAACAAAACCAAGATTGAAATCACCTAGGATTATTACATCGTCAACCTGATTCAAGACATCACTAGCACCGTTCAGAAAATTCGAGAGAGATTCCAATTTGACAGGGGGAGGCAAATATACCACACAGACTGCGACCTTCTTTAATGAGTTATTTTTCATAATTTCCATTACAATCCACATATCTTCGACATCGCTTTCCCAGCTTTGCATACGATTTGATTTAATAGTTTTATCCACTGCAATAAGTACACCGCCACCATCTTTTTTCGAGCTCTCCGCAGCTATCACACGATCCCTACGATACACTTGGTATCGCTGATCGATTATTTCCCCACTGCGAATGTTAGAATTTAACCAAGTCTCCGTCAATACAATTACATTATAATTACATAACAAAATATTATGATACAATTCATTTACTTTGGTTCTTAGACCTCTAGTATTTTGATAATATATATCCATAAAAAAAAAAGAAATACAAAACACAAAACAAAAAAATAAACAAAAAATCCAAAAGATAATATAGCAAGTTGAGAAGCGTATTTACCAGAAAGTTTATTAGAATAATATAGTAATAATAAGTTACATCATTAGATTTAAGCTGTCGTAGTTACGCACCAAAAGTGCTTGGCAGGACTCATCTTTACGGACATAAATACGTCCGTTACGAATCCATACAAATCTGTATCCCAGATCTTTAGCTTTTTTTCGTGTGGCAGCGTGAAGTTGCTTATTTGAGGGGGTCAGGTGTTCTGATATAAATATGGGGACACGAGGCCCACCCAAGCCTAAATGTTGAGAACTAAGCTTGTCATTAGGATTTGCCTTGTTGTATCTGATAACAGCAGCCAGGATTGCGTCACGAATTCGTGGACTACGAAATTTTGCGACAACACTACGAGGTTTATCACTGTTTTTATTGATTTTTGCTACCCGTACCGCCTGCATGACATCGACGTCCTCAATAGGACTGCCCACGATTTTTGCCAATTGGACCACTGTGTTTGGGAGATGTTCAGATCTGTGCTCGACTAAGCCCCCTATCTCAATATTACTCTCACGAAGGTGCTGTTCAGCCAAACAAAGTCTTGATGATAGATCTCTTGCAGTAGTTTTCAATTCTGCATTTTCCTTTTCAAGTTTAGCGATTGTTGTAACGTTGTTTTCAATCAATAAAGTGAATTTACAGGGTACAAAGGAATAACACCTTAGTCCTCAAGAATGGCAACGTATGAGGGGTATCACGGGCAAAACAGTATACTCTGTTATGTCCATGGTACTGCTACGGACGACATTAATTTAAGCGTGATATACATAGTAACAAACATCTCAACATAATTTTTTTCACAAATTTTACATTGTTGCATAATAATTACAGCTCTCTTAGACGATGATATCCGTGATGATACAGAGTGCGCAGTTCATATCTATGAGAAGGAAGGCTTCAAGTATTGGTCACAGTGGATGGTGAGGTGTAAGAATGACAATTTCATTACTGGTGAAATTTACAAGTAAGTGTAACAAAACTATAGGTCTTCCTTAATACCTCGTCCCAATCTATGATTTTTTTGTTTATTGTACTTATTTTTAAGGTTCCTTAGCAAAGAGGTACAAAGATATCCTTTTGTCACGTCATGTTATGGTCACGTCCGTTTGTCTGTCACAGTGTTATATTTTAGCAAATATTAATGCTAATTATTTTAAATTTGGAATAGTTTTACATATTATTAGTTCGCACATATTACAATGGAAATGATTGAATATAAATAAGTCACAAAAGGACTTCCTTTTCAAATCGTCATAGTCGTAGAATGCTGACGGATATATATATATATAATATTTGTTATATCCGTCAGTATTCTACGGCTATGACGATATATTCTTATTAAAACACCCTCACAATATCCTTTTATTGTATTTATATTGTAAAGATTTTGTAGCAAATTTTTTTAATTATTCTTAAAGATTTCCCTATAAATTCGCCAATTATATATATATATATATATTCTTATTTTTCTAAGTTACATTTGGATGAAAATAAATATATTTTTATGTTACGAAGATGCATGTATATTTCAGTTTTCAACTTGTAGGTACTCATATCAATCTTGATTATCTACTTCAGATGTCCAGACTTAATTTCGCCACGGATTAGCAGAGAAAACGATCTTGAAGAAATTCTGAAGCTAAAAGAACAACGAGACAAAATGAGAAATCACTCCGACTTGAGGACTTATTACGGAATAAATTGGTTCTTTTAATTTAAAAGTTTTTAATATATTTTTTAGATAAATATATTTTTTACTGTGTAACAAAGCGTGTATATTGTTACACTTTGTTACGCTTTGTTTGGCCTCTACATACGAGTACATAAATAATACCATAGATTTTACAGAACCTTCAATATTCCTTTTCTTGTACTGGTATAATAATTTTTGTTCCCATAGTCACCACTAATAACTTGAGATTGAAGTAAAGTGTAATGTTCTATCGGTAAATATAAAATAATAGTAATAAATATATTTTTATGTTAATAAAGTCTAAGATTAGCACTTCCATTAATCTGTACAATACGTGATACAAGTGGTATTCTATATTAAAAAATAAAAAAAGGTTTATCACGAATATAAAATTTGTAACGAATTTAAGTAACGTACGGTCTCTGTATGCAAAATATAATAATTGCAGGCGTCAACACTTCCCAACTTGGAAACAATAAACTTCTGTTGCCCCCTGTTCGATATTTCTTCGGAAAGACGGATAGTTCACGAAGCAGGAAACTATAATATTATTTGTAAAGAGTACGACGAACTAGTAAGGAATAATATAAAATTTCTCATAAACAGATTGTGTAACGAAAACAGAATTTTTGCAAGCTTTAAACTTGCAATATATGTTAGTTTGTTGCAAGCTATATTTGACATATTTCTTGATAGTCCGATTGGGTTGAAATTTTACATAGATCTTTAGATCAGGTGAGAATATAATATCCAATAGTTAATATTTTTCGTAATTGATTGTGTTTCACAAAAAAAAAAAACCTACTTCAATTGTTATAAAACTAGTCATTTAGATTTGAAAACTAAACTATTGCAACGATAATGATAAAATTTGTATGAAGGCAATTTATATGAAACTTTATGCCTTGCCATCTGGCCAGCATCTACTTGAAAAAACTCATGTCTATAATAAATGGATACTATTGGGTTATCAGTTATTATTAAATTTATTGATTGTGACTGACGGCATTTGGTGGAAATTTGTATATTGATATTATTAGAAAAACACTTGTATATTTTTACAAAAAAAGTTTTTATTTTATATACAACCTAGAAGGTTTCATAATAAATAAAAACCTGGCCGGTTTCGCTGTTTATTGTTTATGTATACGACGTATTTTTATTGACAAAATATTTTTTTTTGCTATTGAAATGGCAGACTATTTGATATACCTGATGGCAAATAATACCTAAATGTCGTATTGATATTATTAGGTTTTTAGGTTTTGTTTTTCTATTTGACATTATTACAATTGACGAAGTTTGCCTAGACGTGGAAGTCGTGTTTGAAATAGCCATTTCAAAATAGCTTCGAGCAGAACAGCGAAGAGTTTAAGAGGATGCAGCCAGCTGCCGGGGACACATCTGCGCGTTTACGCATCAAGTGATACGTTTCAAGAATAATTAGGTCCACGAGCATATCATCGGCGTAGGTGGAGGATTAAATAATTCAGTTATTCTAGTTTCAAAATTAATTACAATTTTTTTCTTTGTCTAAATAAGTGGAAAATAATTTTAGTGCGAAATGTGAATGTGTAATAATTGTTCACGCTTATCTCCATAACCTGATTACAATTGAGTTTTCTAAATGTGATTTGATAAATGGACCAGAGGGAGACTTTGTACAAAAGTCGATTGCTTGGGTACCTCTGTCCCATTCGTGTTTCAACCGTGAAGCAGTTGTGTTTGCATGGCTGTGTTTCGGTTTTTTAGTTCTGTGTTTAGTTTCGGTTTGAAGGGTGGGATATGGCGTGAATTTACTGGGTTTTTCAGAGGAATAACACCTGAGTCCTCAGCAATAGCAACGCATGGGGGGTATCATGGGCGAGACAGTATACTCTGTTATGTCCATGGTACTGCTTATATCTATAGGCGACGGTTACCACTTTCAATCAGGTGGACCGTCAGCTTGTTTGCCATTTTAAGTTGTATAAAAATAAAAAACCATCGCGTGCTTTATTATAGATTGTGCTAAACAAAAAAAAGAACTTGATCTGATCTAAAAACTAAACTACTGAACCGCTTCAAATAAATTTCTATAGGTCTAATCTGTAAGTTATATCTTTTCAGATAAAAAAAGAATTTTCCGAATCGGTTTAGAACTGACGAAGTTATGAGGTAACAAACATAAAAAAAAAAACAATCGAAATGAGAATCTCCTTGTTTTTAAAATACCAAAATGTTGTCAAAATTTATCAAAAATATTATTTATTTAAATAAATAAAATTTTGTTTATGGATAAATAATATTTTTTATTTATAAGTATACCATATAAGCTGTTAACTGTCTACTGCTGAACATAGACCTCTGCTTATTAAAGGATTTTGCTAGTAGTTGCCACACTTGGCGGGCGGGTTGGCAACTGCAATGATTAAACAGGCTTTGATAATGTTTAAACAGTAAGTTACTTTAGTCGCCTCTTACGACATCTACGGGAAAGGAAGGGGATGTATAAATATAATTTATAAATAATAAAAAAGTACAATTTATTTTTTCCCTTTGCTTTGTGTTACTTAATAAATATGTACTGATGAAATGTCATATCTGTAAGAACGTTTTGTTAGGCACTGAATAAGGTCTGTAGTGACACAGGTGTGTTCATTGTTACGCCGATAACCTTGAGAAAAAGTATTTATGTTAGAATAAATATTTGTTCTTTCTCAAGATATATATTTTTAATTCACGTTCTTACCTTTACTCATGAGGTGGATAAAGATAGTCTTTTTTATATAGTATTTATTCCTATTGTTATTTGAAGCATTTGTTATTGTACTGATGTTTTCTTGCGTGAGCATATTGAGAGACTACTTACTCAGTTGATCAAATAAATAAATATTGTATGAAACCTTCTGAGGTTTTGTTTTTCATATCATCCACATGGATATCTCTGTCCCACTCGCATTTCTGTCGATAAGCAACTCTGTTTGAAAGGTGGACTTACTAGCTAAAACTGTTCATATCTGTAAGCGATGTTTAACTTTTCTCCATTAAGTCATCTACTTGTTATTGTTCGTGTTAATATTATGTAAATATAAATATATAAAAAAAAAAAATTACCTAGTCACACGAACTAAGCCGTGATTGGTGTACTGTCCATTTCGTTTGTTCGTTTAAAATTCATTTGTCGATCGATTGAATGTATTGACAGATTGAGATATGAAGTAATTTTCGTTTTTCTATTTAAATATTACAAATGCATATATCAAAATTAGGTAGATAGATAGATACGTCATATTGTTTCCTCCAAAAGATTATAATAGCAAACTTATTTTAGATAAAAACAATTTCAAGAAATGATCACAGTGAGAAAATAACGGGTGACCTTATTGCTAAAAGCGATCTCTTCCAGGCAACCTTTCGATTGAGAGGAGTTATTATAAACAGTTTGATCGAAGACACAATAAAACTTCTGTCATTTTTATAATTACACGATGGATTAAGCCGTTAACCCTCTGACCGGGCATCCCGCGATTTCCGCGTGCAGTATCTACTAGTTCAATTTTACACATCCCGCGATTTCAACGTACTGACAGTTTTTTATATTTTTTAATGTTGTTATCCCGCGATTTTTGTTTTGGTAGATTGATATTGTTCCTCAGAATATCGCTGGATGGTTAAATACTCGTACTGTTATTTGTTGTCAAAGTGATGTGTTTTGTTGTTGTGAAAGAAATGCGGTCAGAGGGTTAATGCACTAAGAAATAATATCAAACAAAACAACCTTTTGCTTGTTTTGTATGTTATTGTACGAACAATGCTACTTTCAAAATTGTTTTATAACATTAATTTATATAAGGGCTTTATTGATTTCTCATAAAAATATATTACATCGACTTTATATCTTGGGCATTTGCTTCTAAAAAGCAGAATAGGTTGTGAGAATCTCTTGTTTGTAAGTAGGTACTTCAATAAAACGGGAGTGTTGTGACGCAGGTGTGACTCGTGTCGCTGTGTCTACAAGCTCCCGGGGGAAACACCCGTTACCTTAAGATAATACGCTTCCTATTTAATTCGCCTCCTTTTACCTATATATTTTCTTCAAATACCATTGCAAATTGAAATACTCAAGAACATTCTGGAAATTTGGAGGCGAGTTATTGGAAAAACGACTTTAAAAAGTATGAGGCTTTTAATTCGTTTGATTTTTTTGTGAATGTTACGTAAAATATTTCCTGCAGCTTTGTTCATGTAATTGCTATATATCTATATTTTAAATTAAGATATAATACAAATATAATAACAAGGAGAAGAAGCATTAAAAAGGATATTATGGAACAGTGACAGAATGTGAGTGTACCGGCGAAAACTAATGGGAAGTCACTTGAGCTTAGTACGAAACAGAGAAATATGATCATATTTTATAAGAATGAAAATAAACCTGACAAACACGTTTTAAAAATGCTCAAGTTTATTAAGCTGGTCTTCCGTAATATCCACATAACAAGTGTCGGTAAACTCAAAAATTGAAAGAAGTGGGGATTGGAATAGTACAACTTTAGTAGGTGTAGGTAAGAAATTACGCAATCTTCGCAGTAAGTTAATGGATCCGAAAACTTTCCTACTGATCGTTTCAATTTGTGGCCGCAAAGTTAGAGAATTGTCAATGATCATAACCAGGTCTTTCACTGATGCACTGAAAGGGATAACTACACCATTAAAAGTTATTAGCACTAACGTCTGGATCTATTGGATAAGTTTAGGACTACCTGCTAGTTTTGGAAGGATTCATTTTCAATCCAAAAACTGTACTCTAGTTGCTAATACGTTGCAAGTGTTGGTCTGTTAAAAAAATAGTAATCGTTTACTATCAGGTGGACCGTATGCTTGTTTGCCATGTCGGTAGTATAGAAAAAAAGATTTCGATTCAGTGGGTATTATATACCACACGACAATAACAATCGACAAATGTCTTTGACTACTCCAATAGATATTACAGTCATAAATATATATATATATATATATATATATATATATATATATATATATTTAATACAGAAATAATACTGTAATAATACACCAAAGATGTAACAATCAATGCCTTTAGCTCTCAGCATGTGTTTTATTTCTATTTGTTATAGAGTCAGCCTACTAAACTAGTTAATTGGTGAATTTTCCAGCGAGAACACTGCACATGTACGTTCGAAACCTCATGCCACTATATCTCCGAGAGCGTTGAGAGGATTATTTTAAAGTAATGCTTATTTTAATGGCGGCAATTTGAGTAACTTTATGTGGGTATGGCAGTGCACAAGGGTTTGCGATAGTGAGGCCATATTTATAATTTTAGATTTATGATTGTAGTAGATTAGATGTTTGACTATAAATTTTTAATTTTTGCTAAAATGTGTTAACTTATATATTAATGAACAATAATATAACTGTAGTTAAAATTTCGATGGACATAAGTTATGCAGGGCTGTATTTTATGATAAATTAATAGCCATTTTTTCGATATTGACATTTTATTGCTACCCAAAATTCTTCTTATTCTTCTCAAAATTTATGATGCTATTTATCATATCCACTGCTGAACATGAACCCATCTCCTATATGACATCTCCCATAGACTCTCATAAGTAACAGTCCTGCACCACCTGCTACCATTGAGTCCCTATAATAGTAGACCCGGCGTGGAGAACGTCACCCCATACTATACTGTTATTAGCAGGGCTGACGCCTTCACACATCAATATAATGAAAGTAAAAATCGAAATAAAAATAAAGTTACAAATTTCATACGATTTACTGTCTTTAGTATCAAACGTAAATCCAAATTATTAATACTTTATACTTTTAAGATCAATAGGATATAAAATAAAAAAAAAAAAACATGACATTTTTATATTTTTAATTAAATAATACCACGCACTTTAGTTTGGTTGTACGCCAAATATATTTTTTCCATTATTATTCTTTGATTTCCCATCAGGGAAATCCAAACAATGGCGTATTGTATAAATATGGGGAAACATTTGAACCGA